TTTCGTCGCGCTGTGATGACGTCAAATGCGCGCTTTCGTCGCCCGCGATTTTGTCATCCGCGGTTTTGTGGTGGAACCGTTTTCACCCTGCCAGAGGCTCAAGGAAAGCCTGTGGAGCGCAGGGAGGGCAAAAACGCCCCCCTCCCACGCCATGGTGCAGGAGGGCAACTAGGCCACACCCACCATGGCCACAGCCATCCAGCAACCAGGCAGAGAACCCCTTGATACACTTTTTTGAAGCCCACCCCTGACATTAAGCCATAATGTAGGTTATTTATTTGGGCAGTGTATCTCATTGCTACCTTCTAGAAGTCACAAAAGCTTAATTCTAGAAGCATAACAAGCCATCGCTAACATTTCGAACGCTGGGCCTGCCTGCTGCCCTGCTGCCAGGCTGGGCCACAACTTCCCATCTTAGATAGGACACCTTTCCATGCTTAGAGACTTCATTCACAGGGGACTCTCTTATGCTCACTTGCCCTTTGTCTGTGCCTGAATCCCTGTCACCTCTCATTGCAGAATAAACTTGTACTTTTCCTCCCGGGTCACCAATGGTTTTATCCCTTAGCTCAGCCTGGCCTGCTCCCAACTTTCCCTCTTTCAGACATGGACAAGGAGGATGCCTTAATCTGCTTTGAGGAACACATCCGGACTTTGGAGAGGGAGGAGGAGGAGGAACGTGAACGGGGCCGATTACGGGAAAGGCGTCAGCAACGGAAGAACAGGGAAGCCTTCCAGGTATTTGCAATCGCAGCCCCGAGCCAAGGAGGCTTTTGCTGGGATTCCTTGGAAAGAAGAGTGTGGTCTGTCTCGCAGAGCAAGAACAGTGGCAAGGATTCCATGCCTTGTAGATTTTGGTCATCAGCACTTGAAAGAATTAGAGGCAACCTTCAAACTTTTGGGATCCAAAGGTGTAGTCAACCTGCAGAATTCTCAGCAATAACCATGTTAACTGAGAAATTCCAGGATTTGAATCTGTGTATCATAAGGGCACCCAAATTGGGAAAATCCAATTAAAAGAGTCAGGTAATAATAGGGAAATGATTTTATTGCTGTCACAATCCATAGTGGGCTAAATGGCAAATGGACTGATCCAGCCTTTTTCATCCTCTGTTGTTAGTCGCAAAGTCATGTCCGACCCATCGCGACCCCATGGACAACGTTCCTCCAGGCCTTCCTG